AATATTGTGTAGGTAAGGGACACTGACCATCGAGTGTGTTCCGTTTACTAAATTATGTTATCTCCCTCGGCACCATTCCAGCAACTACGTTTACTTTGAAACGGTCTTAGTAAATAGTGTACTTTACAGAGTCTAAGCGCGCAGTGTTGGGGTTTCTTCCTGTTATATATTTCGGGAGATCGAGGTCACAGCAGTATTCAATGCGATAGTAAATGTTCTGTGAATAGTAGGACCATCTGAGTGGTATCCCGTTACGTAGTCTCAAAACTACCTTAAACGTTATTCAGATGTCAGTATTCCTAAAAAGTTATCGTATTATTTCCATATTATGAGATATGATTGCGTCTTGAATTATATATCCTATTTGAGTTCTTAATTCTTCCATGCTAGGCAAGAGGCAAGAGAAGGAGAAGCAATGGAAGGCAAGTGACTGGAGGTGGTGAGCATTATATAACCTGCTCGGACAAATGTTTGGTTTAACTTAGTCACAGTGACCTTTAGTCTGAAAATTGAATATCAATCTCCCAACATATTTATAAAATGCCTCGCTGAGATCTGTGTTTGCAACTGCTTGATTTTAGGGTTCCTCTATTGCTTCCGTGGTCCTTTCCTTTGAGTGGTTGAGTAGTTATGGAAGGCATCGTTAATGTTTTAAACCCATATTGACCCCATGTTGTGAAATCCGTTTCAGTTTTGAGAATTAACTCCAGAGATTAACTCTAAATATTCATCCTGTGACGTTAGTACGACCGCTCCATATATCTGTTAGAATTTTGTTGCCTTTCTTGAAGAATGGGGCGTGATGTGGTGTTATTTATATTAATTTATTTATGAATATGAAATTCTAGGCATGAGGCGCCTGGGCTCAGCACTTGGGTGTGTTTTACGGTGACTTTACAATGCCAGGATCTTCAACCTGCCAGGACCTGCTGCTGCTGCTCTGCTTTCAGAATTCCACACACTTTATGAACCTTCTTCCCGACTATGGACCTTTGTTTTATGTCCGTCGGGTATTCCTTATGTAATTTTGACTTTCCAGTTATCTCTCCATCTTATATACTATCGGTTTTTGTTTGGAATAGAACCAAATGCTTATTGAGTCCAATAATATGCAGTATCCACGGCTTTCTGTCTTGTATTTGTTGTTGTTGAGACCTTGTCATACTTGGAACACAATACAATGTTCAGGAATGACTATTTCCTCTAAAACCGCTTTGCTCTGTCACGAAGCTCATCATGTCAAGGTGCCCCTGCACTCTTCCCGACCACTTTCCCATGGACTTTGGCAAGGTGAATTTAGTGTTTGGCGTGGAAGGTAGTGTGTGGGGGGGGGGGGGTTGTGGGAGTATGGAGTGTGTGTGAAGGTGGGGGAGTAGTATGGATATGGTTCTATGACATGTGTGGAAGCCAAAGGTAATGTAACCTGGTTGTTAAACGATTTGGTGGGTGGTATTCCGGGGGTGAAAATAGTAGTATTAAGGACCTGCCTGAAACGTTATATACGAGCTAGTGGCTTAACAAGTATGTAAGAACTCTTGTATATATGTAAATAAATAAAATTAAATAAATAAAAAAAATATAAAGTGGCGTGGATATGACAGAAATTAATGTGATAGGAAGTAAGGAGAAGTGTGAGAAGCAGTCTGAAGTGAATGGAGAATGCAAGTTGTGTGGAGGAGGTGGTCATGGGAGGGCGGGGGGGGGCGGACTGCATCTTGCTCTATCATTCCACAGGTGCTCCAAGGGGCGGGAAGGGGGGGGGGGAGGTTCTGAAGACCTATCTCAGGTGCCCAGTAAAAATGAGAAGGGGGGAAGGCGTACCACCTCTTAACAAACACGTCAAGGCGTGTGACGCAGCACCCATACCGCCAGTAAAGGAGCGTGGAGCCTACTGCACCCCCATCCCTCCCCATCTACACAGTAAACGCGCTTGGTGTGGAACCCATTCACAAGTGCCCGTAAAGGTGCGATAAACGTGCCGACCCCCAATAAAAGCGTGAGGAACATGCCGCAGCTAGCACACATTATTTTCATTTCAAGCTATGTTGCCTGTGCTAGGGGGTGGTTGTGTTGGGGGGGAAGGTGGAGTTGGAGGGGGGGGGGGTTGTGATTTTGGGGTGTGTGTGGTGGTGTTGGAGGGTAAGGGTGGGAGTGGGGGGGGGTAATTAAGACGGTATTGAGGAAGGCAGCTGAAGTGGGCACCGAGATCGTTTGAGTTGGGTCTTGGTAGTACAGTATAGGTGTTTTGGTTCCACGGAGTAAGGCCATGATGGTGGGAGGGAAGGTACTGTGCTGTACTGGGTGTCAGGAGCTGTACTGGGTGACAAGGGATGTACTGGGTGGGAGGACGGAATTGGGGCCGGGGGTGTGTGGGGGGAGGGTGTTGATTAAGGGGTTACATGGCTGTGACATTTAGCTGCAGTTTTTGAGTGATGAGTCCAACTTACTTATATCGTCAGTATGATGTATCATCACACTCGATGAGTATGTATCTCCAAGTCATCACAACTTATGATGCGCATTTCATCATAAAACAACCTCATAACTGAAGCATCTGTATTTGAGGGCGTCAGAATGTGTTCTCCATCGAGTATAAGGCACACACGAGTCCAGTGAAATATCCCTTGATGGCGGCATCGTGCAGCTCCACCTGGCTTGTGGCGGTAACCTCCAGGTGGTGACGTCTCATGAACCACCACCACCTGGCTCGTGGCGGTAACCTCCAGGTGGTGACGTCTCATGAACCACCACCACCTGGCTCGTGGCGGTAACCTCCAGGTGGTGACGTCTCATGAACCACCAACACCTGGATGACGTATACTGTTTTCTAACGGTGCCCAAAACCAAGAGAAGGGAGGGGGGTCCAGGCACCCCAACAGGTAATTAACACCTGAAGGCGCCAGAAGCAAGTAAGGTGTGGGTGTGGAATATAACATTTCTACCGTGGAGTTTCCAAGAGACGTGTTGAGTGAAGCCTCTCGCGTGTGACGGATGCTTATGTCCATGTTCCTAATGACTGTAGCTGGTAGTGGAGGAGCTGGTGCGTGAAGGCTGTCAGTGGCCACGTGTACCCGATGGCAGGGGTAATGTTTGTCTTTAGCATAGGCGTCAAACTTATAGAAGTGTGTGTGTGTGTGTGTGTGTGTGTGTGTGTGTGTGTGTGTGTGTGTGTGTATGTGTGTGTGTGTGTGTGTGTGTGTGTGTGTTTGGTGGGAGGTAGGGAGATGGTAATATAGGAAGTCGGGCAGTAATGACGGTCTTAAGACATGGGCAGGCCGTAAGCCACCTTGGGCTCCACTGCCATTATCACATGTCAATCCTGCTGGATGAGGGGGTGGCAGCGAGGGGTGGCAGCGGGGGGTGGACGTGTTAATGAGAGCGTTACTCCAGCCCAGGGAAAGACTGGAAGGATGGCAGGGACTGAGCCAGACTCTGCGCCATAGCCTGGATCTGCTCGTGTGTTGGGCCTCCTTCCAGGGTCACGGGCGGCAGCTGGGATGCCACCTCTGCCAGTGACGGTCCTTGACTCCCTACTGAGGTAATAACTGGCACTCCTCCTCCTCCCCCGCCGCCCACAGAACCTCCAGATACCTGGGGGTCACCTGCCAGTGGCTGAGGTCCGCACAGCTGCTGCTGCTGCTGTCTGTTGTCAGCATGGCCTGGGAGGTGGGTGGCGGGGGCGGCGCGGGCGTGGTGGTGGTGATGGTGGTGGGCGTGGTGGGCGGCGCGGTCACCCCGGTGTACGGTAGAGGTGTGGGTGGCCAGGGAGTGCTTGGTGGAGTAGATGCGCCCACACAACTCGCAGGGAAACCGTTCCGTCTGGACTGTGTGCTTGTCCAGTATGTGCGTCTTGAGGTTATACTTGTTACTGATCACCTTGTTGCAGTACGGACAGACGCACGCCGTGTGCAGCAGTGACCGCCGCCCACCTGAAACAGCAAAACACACACCTTAGAGTGCGGGCGGCGGTCACTACTATCTCCCCCCCCCCCAACCACCACCCCCACCTGTGTTAGTGCGCGCTCCCCCGCCCGCCTCATACATCGCACCCGTCCTCTCCCACCCTTACACTCACACCCGCATCACTCGTCACGTTATTATTGTGGCGGTCACTACCTCCTCCTGCACGGGTACGGCGCCCCCCCCCCCCACTACCTCACCACCACCCGCAGACATTAACCTCTCCGGGCAAGGGTTATTGATTGATTGATGAAGATTAAGCCACCCAAGAAGTGGCACGGGCATGAATAGCCCGCGACCTCACATGCGTGGGGGAGTCCACGGTTCGAGTCTCCTAGAGCCCAGGTGAATGGAATGTTTATTACCACGGAAGTGTGGATGACAATTAGTATGAATAGCCCGTAACAAGGGACTATGTACCTACAGCAGGTGTTAGGAAGTCACTGGTTAGGAAAGTTACATCAGGTTAACTAACACCTCCCCGGCCCCCCCCCCACACACACCAACCACCTCTACCTGCCTCCAACCCAACTGTAGATCCCACACACCTATCACACACCCGCCTCCCTCCCCCCCCCCCAAACAACCACACATCTCCTGCATAACTAACAGACAACCCACGACCCAAACGTCTTCACCATTATGGCTGTGTCAGCACACACTATTACTCAAGATGTTTAAGGCATCACAATTACTGTCTTACTCCCCGTGTTAAGAGGTTACTCCTGACAATACTGTGTGCTCACTAATGACATTACCCCCCCACATGTTAATATCAATCCCAATACTAGGCACCTCACGTCACCTGTTAAGGTCTTCTCAATGGCAATATAGAGATAAACTGTCTTACTCCATATGTTAAGGTCAACATCAGTAAGGCAGTATTAACATATGATGAATATTGTCACCAGTAAGATAATATTAACGTAAGATGAATGTTAAGGTCATCAGTAAAATAATATTAACATACTGTGTTACTTCATTTAGCAATACTGTATAATGTTCAGGACTAACAATGGGTGCAGAAAAAAAATAAAGAGTAAGATATTGGGTATTTTTATTTCCATATAAAATAATATACAAGTGGTTTGGCACTTAGCGCAAGACATTCCTACACCACTAACACAAAACTCCGTGCACATTATAAGTGTTTTGATGCTGAGCTGAGAGTGCGGGCCTCCACAGCAGAGACGTCTTGCCGGATATACCCCAGGGGTAACGAGGCCGGATATACCCCAGGGGTAACGAGGCCGGATATACCCCAGGGGTAACGAGGCCGGATATACCCCAGGGGTAACGAGGCCGGATATACCCCAGGGGTAACGAGGCCGGATATACCCCAGGGGTAACGAGGCCGGATATACCCCAGGGGTAACGAGGCCGGATATACCCCAGGGGTAACGAGGCCGGATATACCCCAGGGGTAACGAGGCCGGATATACCCAGGGTATGGTCAGATATACCCAGGGTAACGAGGCCGGATATACCCAGGGTAAGGAGGCCAAATATACCCAGGGTAACGAGGCCGGATATACCCCAGGGGTAACGAGGCCGGATATACCCCAGGGGTAACGAGGCCGGATATACCCCAGGGTAAGGAGGCCAGATATACCCCAGGGTAACGAGGCCAGATATACTCCAGGGTAATGAGGCCAGATATACCCCAGGGTAACGAGGCCAGATATACCCCAGGGTAACGAGGCCAGATATACCCCAGGGTAACGAGGCCAGATATACCCCAGGGTAACGAGGCCAGATATACTCCAGGGTAACGAGGCCAGATATACCCCAGGGTAACGAGGCCAGATATACTCCAGGTTAACGAGGCCAGATATACCCCAGGGTAACGAGGCCAGATATACCCCAGGGTAAGGAGTCTTGGCTTACATCTTTAAGCTCAGAGCCTAGCCACCTCGAGGAGGATTAAGGCCACCACTCCCTACACCTCATAAATAAAGTCAAGTCCCAGTGAATATACATAGAGAAGTGGGTGGTGGTGGTGGGGGGTATATTTCCCTCGAGGACTACACACACACTCACACATGGTCTACCATAACACTGTCAGACATACCAGGACATCTCCACTCCACACACATACACTACACTCTCACGTCTGTGTAACAGGTCATCAACATTTACACAAGGATCAGAATTTGATTGCTGGAAATTAAATCCCATTTTAACTACTACGACAATTACAAATTACTGTATTATAGACTAGGATAATGGAGGTGTTTCCAGGAACCTTGAAGAAGGCTGGCAAGCGGTGGTGGTCCACGCTACCACCACTCACCTGGTAGTGGTGGTGGTACTATGCAGTGGTCAAGAGCTACCACTACCACCACACACTTAGTAATGGCGGTGGAACTATGCAATGGTCAAGAATTACCATTACCACCATATACCTGGAAGTGATAAATGGTTGATGGGGTTCTGGGAGTTCTTCTACTCCCCAAGCCCGGCCCGAGGCCAGGCTTGACTTGTGAGTGTTTGGTCCACCAGGCTGTTGCTTGGTACCACGTACTATGCAGTGGTCAGGAGTTAGCACTACCACCACACACCTGGTAATGGTGGTACAATGCAGCGGTCTGGAGCAACCACTAAACTCTTGGCAACGACGGCACTACACTGTGGTCAAAAACTACCATTACCACCATACACCTGCTAGTGGTGGTGGTGCTTACCTACCAGTGGCAAGGGGGAAGTAGCCTGGTACCATTGCCACCACCATATTACATCCACCATCGCGTATAGTGCCGGCGAGATGGGAGGCCCTTGACAACCCCCAACACACACCCGTTCTACCATAACCCTCATCAGTCAGTAGTATAATGCTGGTCGCCCCCTCCCCCTCCCACCTTTCACTGCTTCACATGCAACATCCGGGTGTTTCGGGTCGCGTTGAAGGAAAGTTTATTGATCAATGCTGCTGAAAGGTCTAACCCACAGCCTAGGTCCGCCCACAGCTGTACCCGAGTAATAAAAACTAAAACTTACCTACGTGGGAGATATAGAGCCCAGGTAGGCATCTGTCTCTCTTCACTGTTGGGTACAAGTCACGGGTTCAGCTCTTAGACACGGCTGCGTGAGGGTCCGTTCAACAGACATGCATAGACATACATACATACAGACAAGGTTAGGGAGGGGGGGGGGAGCAGGAAGGGCTGTACAGTCATCATGGTGCTACATACCTAGCTGGTGAGAACGCCATCTCACTCGACTCTTTAAGGTATCATAGCACTGCCTTATTTGCTCAATGGTATAAAAAGATACAAGAGTAACATGTAAGAATTAAGGAACTTTGATTTCTTCCCATGCTTCTACTGTATTTTTGCTGGAATTATTTAGTCAGCAACTTACTACTAAAATAAATGTGCATTATTTCATAGGACAACTACTGCTCACATCTGAGATAATAATCATAAACTGAAATATTTTTTTCGTTAAAAAAAAGTGTGTCTGGCAAGCGCAGAGATGCACCCTTGTTTATGTTAAAATGTTGCACACAGGAACACTTGCCCTATATGGGGACGGGCTGCATAGTTGCTCCTGCCTCCACCATACACACATTAACATATTACAAGAGTGGGTGGGTGTAGGCGCGCCCCACCACTAGCGCTGAGCTCCCGTGCCTGGCAAGATAGCGGCCACAGGTGCTGCTTGTGGAGGAAACATGACATGCTCAGCTGTCATGGTGTTGTGTATGTGAGAGTGAGAGAGGAAACCTAGAACCGTAGTGGTGGTGGTGGTGGTGGAGGTGGTTGCTGCTGCTGCTGCTGTGATTGCTGTTGTTGCTGCTGTTGTTGTTGTTGTTGTTGGTGGAGGTGTAGTTGAGGCTTCTTATGCGTACCGCTCATGTGTGCCCGGAGAGAGTTGAGAGAAGCGTACATACGGTGACAAACGGGACACTGGTGGCTCTGGCGGGGCCCGTGCATGTCCCGCAAGTGAGTCTTGAGTACGTACTTGTTGCACAGCAGCTTCCCGCATACACCACACACCACCTCCTCCCCGGTGGGGGGCCGGGTGCGGGCGCTGGGCGGGGTGTAGGCCAGGGCGGTGAGGGTGGTGGCTGCGGCGGCCGAGGTGTCGCTACTGAAGCTGACTTGGGGCGACACACTCTCAAGGGGAGGGGGCGGACCAGGGGCGGCGAGAGGAGACCCACCATAGTCAGCGTGGGCGGAGGATGGTGGGTTGGTGGGTAGGTGGCACACTGACGACCCAACACTATACTGCCCACTGCCTACCGCCGCCTGCAGGCCGAGCCCTCCGCCTGAAACAGCCGACCATCAGTTGAGAGACGCCGGGAGGCAACGCTCTCACACCACAACTCCCATCCCCATTATCTTACAATTCAAAAGCAAAACCAACACAAATTGACCGGAAAAACTATATTCATTATGAAATATACACCACTACAAATCATGCCCTTAATATTAGCCAGTGGTATAAAAATAAGTATTTGAGTTAAATACATCAATAAGAGTGTATGAGTTAAATATATGAGATAAATGCATGGTGAGGCGAGAAGAGTACATGCTTGACAGACACAAGCGGCGCGGCTCGTGTACCACATTGATTGATTGATGAAGAGATTGCCATCCCAAGAGGTTGGCACGGGCATGAGTAGCCAGTAATCGTGTAACATGCTAATGTTTCTAAACATACTGTTCTCTGCTACGTCACCTCACTCAACATAATGTTCTCTGGGAAATTATAATATTTTGAATTAAATCTGGGATACTTTTTCCCCTCCGAAACAAATATGATGAATTCCAAGCGAAGAATGACTGATACTGATGATGGTACTAGGCCCGTCGGGGGTCACTCCACTAAGCCAAGCGCTTTACTTATCCACACACAAACACACATACACACACACACACAAAACACGCAAAACATAATTTTGATCAAACATTGAAAAAAATATTTTTGTTTTGTGATTAAGCGGACAACATTTGAGTCCAGGGAGAAGGTAGAGGGGGGTGGGAACCCCCCCCAGGTGAGAAGTGTATGGGAGAGGTGGCCATGGGCAGGCCCACACTCACCCCCACTAGTGCTCCCTAGTGCTCCCATGTACCCTGGGTGAGGGCAGGGGCTGAAGGTGCGTGTGTGCCCGTGGGCTGGGTCACGCTCACCGCCGCCAGGCCACCACATTGCCCAGCTAAGTCCTAAGAGTCTTTCTGAAGAGGGCGGCGATGGCAGCAGCATCGGACGGGTCGCCGCCTTCCGCCTCATATGCGGGTTGGGGCTGGACATCTTCCCTTCCCATCACAGGATGATATTCCTCAGGGTGATACTTGATCTGTGAGGGTTGCTGCAAGTGTAGGTGCTGCAGCAATTGTGACTGTGGTTGTTGTTGCTGCTGCTGTTGTTGTTGCTGCTGCTGTTGCTGCTGCTGTGGTGGTTGTTGTTGTTGTTGCTGCTGCTGCTGCTGTGGTTGTTGTTGCTGTGGTTGCTGTGGTTGTTGTTGTTGCTGCTGATGCTGCGGAGAAATACCGAGGTGCAAGGAACTCAATGAGATTCGCCTGCGGACGACGCCAGTAGGGTGGGAGTTGCTGCGGTGGACTTGCAGACTGTTGAGAGAGCTGTACTGGCGGTTGCAGAGGTCACATACAAACTTGGCTCCTCGGTTCAAGTGCATGTCTCGCTCGTGCTTCTTGAGATTGTAGCGATTGCTGCAGACCTTGCCGCAAAACCTGCACACATTGGCCTCCTCGCCTTCACCTGCAACACGAAGAAAACAGCTGGGGTGAGGGAGGGCGAGTGAGCCTGGCAGCACCGTGCAGGTGGGTGGCAGTCAGTCAGGCAGTCAATCAAGTCAGGCAGACAGGCAGGCAGGCAGGCAGGCAGGCAGGCAGACAGGCAGGCAGGCAGGACATCAATGGGGCCAGAGTAAGTGGGAGGGCCACACCGCTACACATGTTTCACCCTGAGGGCACAGCAGCCGCAGCACTGTCCTGGCCACCCAGCATAACACACTGCTCCTCAGGACGTGGAGAGGCAACACCGGGTACACGCCCGCGGGGCGGGGGGCAGGACACTGGTAGATAAGACCGGGGCTGTGGACAGCAGAGAAACGGTAGCCTCGGAGGACACTTGCAAGGGTAACACAAGGGTAAGGACACAGGAGGAAAGGCATTTGGGAGAATATCAGTGGCTGGGGTTACAGGAAGAGGTGGCTAGGGTTACAGGAAGGGGTGGCTGGGGTTACAGGAAGGGGTGGCTGGGGTTACAGGAAGGGGTGGCTGGGGTTACATGAAGGGGTGGCTGGGGTTACAGGAAGGGGTGGCTGGGGTTACATGAAGGGGTGGCTGGGGTTACAGGAAGGGGTGGCTGGGGTTACAGGAAGGGGTGGCTGGGGTTACAGGAAGGGGTGGCTGGGGTTACATGAAGGGGTGGCTGGGGTTACATGAAGGGGTGGCTGGGGTTACATGAAGGGGTGGCTGGGGTTACATGAAGGGGTGGCTGGGGTTACATGAAGGGGTGGCTGGGGTTACATGAAGGGGTGGCTGGGGTTACAGGAAGGGGTGGCTGGGGTTACAGGAAGGGGTGGCTGGGGTTACAGGAAGGGGTGGCTGGGGTTACAGGAAGGGGTGGCTGGGGTTACAGGAAGGGGTGGCTGGGGTTACAGGAAGGGGTGGCTGGGGTTACAGGAAGGGGTGGCTGGGGTTACAGGAAGGGGTGGCTGAGGTTACAGGAAGGGGTGGCTGGGGTTACATGAAGGGGTGGCTGGGGTTACAGGAAGGGGTGGCTGGGGTTACAGGAAGGGGTGGCTGGGGTTACAGGAAGGGGTGGCTGGGGTTACATGAAGGGGTGGCTTGGGTTACATGAAGGGGTGGCTGGGGTTACATGAAGGGGTGGCTGGGGTTACAGGAAGGGGTGGCTGGGGTTACAGGAAGGGGTGGCTGGGGTTACAGGAAGGGGTGGCTGGGGTTACAGGAAGGGGTGGCTGGGGTTACAGGAAGGGGTGGCTGGGGTTACAGGAAGGGGTGGCTGGGGTTACATGAAGGGGTGGCTGGGGTTACAGGAAGGGGTGGCTGGGGTTACAGGAAGGGGTGGCTGGGGTTATATGAAGGGGTGGCTGGGGTTACAGGAAGGGGTGGCTGGGGTTACAGGAAGGGGTGGCTGGGGTTACAGGAAGGGGTGGCTGGGGTTACAGGAAGGGGTGGCTGGGGTTACAGGAAGGGGTGGCTGGGGTTACAGGAAGGGGGTGGCTGGAGAGGACTGTAAGGCTCCAGTCCCACCACACGACAATCAACACACACACACACACACACACACACACACACACACACACACACACACACACACACACACACACACACACACACACACCCACCATACTGTCCGTCTTCACACGTTACAACTATGTAATAAACAAACTTAATATAAACACAAAAACAAAAGACAACATAATATTTGTTAAACAATAACATGGAATGGGCCATTCAGACGAGCACCAGTACATTTGACCAAGAGAACTGACACATTTTTGTAAGTAGGTGGTAGAGCACGCATCTACACCCACCACCTCCCCTACACCTACACTGTATCACCTCCCCTACACCTACACTGTATCACCTCCCCTACACCCATCACCGTAAACTAAACGACACCTACACCTATCCCCCCTCGCCCTCCCGTTCACCTACACCCACAACCTCGCCCTACACATATTACACAAAGTACAGAGTCTAGATATGTTAGGCTGGCAGGTGATAGCAACTTGGCAACACTGACTTGGTAACACTGACTTGGCAACACTGAATCATTTAATCGTCAAATTATGTACTTTCACAACCTATTGTACCTTTGTGTGTGTGTGTACTCACCTAGTTGTACTCAACTAGTTGTGCTTGCGGGGGTTGAGCTCTGGCTCTTTGGTCCCGCCACTCAACTGTCAATCAACTGGTGTACAGGTTCCTGAGCCTACTGGGCTCTGTCATATCTACATTTAAAACTGTGTATGGAGTCAGCCTCCACCACATCACTGCCTAATGCATTCCACCTGTTAACTACTCTGACACTGAAAAAATGTTCTTTCTAACGTCCCTGTGGCTTATGTGGGTACTCATCGGATATACTGTGGATATGGTAATATTGTGTCATTGGTCACGTGTCCCCCAAGACCAGTGGTTCCCAAACTGTGGACCATGCACCCCCTTCTCCCTGGGGGGACCTGTGGGCAATATGTAGAAGGGGTCAGAAGTTGAGGCGGCGTACATATAATACCAGAGGGTGGGAGGAGGCCCTGCGGGCCGCTCCAAGCAACAGCCTGGTGGACCAAACTCTCACAAGTCGAGTCTGGCCTCGGGCCGAGCTCGGGGAGTAGAAGAACTCCCAGAACCCCATCAAGCAGGTATCAACCAGGAGGAGGAGAGGGGAGAATACCCAGCTAAAACTGATGTAACAGGAAACTAACTTTTTCCGTTTGTGTCGAATATTTTTATTTATTGGCTCTGTTGTGACACAGTAATCTGGTGTTGACTATCATGACACAGTAGGCTGGTGTTGACTATCATGACACAGTAGGCTGGTGTGGACTATCATGACACAGTAGGCTGGTGTTGACTATCATGACACAGTAATCTGGTGTTGACTATCATGACACAGTAGGCTGGTGTGGACTATCATGACACAGTAGGCTGGTGTGGACTATCATGACACAGTAGGCTGGTGTGGACTATCATGACACAGTAGGCTGGTGTTGACTATCATGACACAGTAGGCTGGTGTTGACTATCATGACACAGTAGGCTGGTGTTGACTATCATGACACAGTAGGCTGGTGTTGACTATCATGACACAGTAGGCTGGTGTTGACTATCATGACACAGTAGGCTGGTGTTGACTATCATGACACAGTAGGCTGGTGTTGACTATCATGACACAGTAGGCTGGTGTGGACTATCATGACACAGTAGGCTGGTGAAGACTATCATGACACAGTAGGCTGGTGTTGACTATCATGACACAGTAATCTGGTGAAGACTATCATGACACAGTAGGCTGGTGTGGACTATCATGACACAGTAGGCTGGTGTTGACTATCATGACACAGTAGGCTGGTGTTGACTATCATGACACAGTAGGCTGGTGTTGACTATCATGACACAGTAGGCTGGTGTTGACTATCATGACACAGTAGGCTGGTGTTGACTATCATGACACAGTAGGCTGGTGTTGACTATCATGACACAGTAGGCTGGTGTGGACTATCATGACACAGTAGGCTGGTGAAGACTATCATGACACAGTAGGCTGGTGTGGACTATCATGACACAGTAGGCTGGTGTTGACTATCATGACACAGTAGGCTGGTGTGGACTATCATGACACAGTAGGCTGGTGTTGACTATCATGACACAGTAGGCTGGTGTTGACTATCATGACACAGTAGGCTGGTGTTGACTATCATGACACAGTAGGCTGGTGTTGACTATCATGACACAGTAGGCTGGTGTTGATTATCATGACACAGTAGGCTGGTGTTGACTATCATGACACAGTAGGCTGGTGTTGACTATCATGACACAGTAGGCTAGTGTGGACTATCATGACACAGTAGGCTGGTGTTGACTATCATGACACAGTAGGCTGGTGTTGACTATCATGACACAGTAGGCTGGTGTGGACTATCATGACACAGTAGGCTGGTGTTGACTATCATGACACAGTAGGCTGGTGTGGACTATCATGACACAGTAGGCTGGTGTTGACTATCATGACACAGTAGGCTGGTGTTGACTATCATGACACAGTAGCCTGGTGTTGACTATCATGACACAGTAGGCTGATGTTGACTATCATGACACAGTAGGCTGATGTTGACTATCATGACACAGTAGGCTGGTGTTGACTATCATGACACAGTAGGCTGATGTTGACTATCATGACACAGTAGGCTGATGTTGACTATCATGACACAGTAGGCTGGTGTTGACTATCATGACACAGTAGGCTGGTGTGCCCTTCTACCATTCAACCACCAAAATACTCAACCATATATATATCTAAAGAGAGAATGTCTGACCATCCAAAGTTGGAGGCCAGACACATGGGGCCCCGCCTCACAAAACTTTGCAGTGGGAATGGTCTGGGTTACAGGGCGGACATAGGCTGGTTAGGGTAACCAGAATTTCAAGAGGGCGAACAGGATGCCTGGGGGTCACATTCTGACACACATGACGATGTGGCACTGCCAGTCGGCTACACTAAATATTAAAAAAAAAATAAAAAAAATAATAATAAACAAATTTTCTGCTATCCATATTTTGGCCGTAGTAGCATAAAACTCCCAACTTCAAAGGCTTTCTCAAGCCCCGCCCCTTTCTCCTAACAAATGGGAAAATATTTTTTTTTAATATTTCTGGAAAAATATTTTTTTTTAATATTTCACAGAGCTAGGCGTCTCCCGCCGGCGGACTACACACGTCAGTAGTAAGCTATTATAGTTTTATCAACTCCTTGGCCCCACCAGGATTCGCACCTGCACGGCCAGGGGTCTTGCCACTGGTTACCCAGCACTAAGACCACTCCACCAGGATTAAACAGCCGCATTTGGAAACACAAATATTGGCGGGGGTGATGTAGGTGGGACAGACAGGTGGTGGGGGTGATGTAGGTGGGACAGACAGGTGGTGGGGGTGGTGTAGGTGGGACAGACAGGTGGCGGGGGTGGTGTAGGTGGGACAGACAGGTGGCGGGGGTGGTGTAGGTGGGACAGACAGGTGGTGGGGGTGGTGTAGGTGGGACAGACAGGTGGCGGGGGTGGTGTAGGTGGGACAGACAGGTGGCGGGGGTGGTGTAGGTGGGACAGACAGGTGGCGGGGGTGGTGTAGGTGGGACAGACAGGTGGCGGGGGTGGTGTAGATGGGACAGACAGGTGGTGGGGGTGGTGTAGGTGGGACAGACAGGTGGCGGGGGTGGTGTAGGTGGGACAGACAGGTGGTGGGGGTGGTGTAGGTGGGACAGACAGGTGGCGGGGGTGGTGTAGGTGGGACAGACAGGTGGCGGGGGTGATATAAATGAAATAGGTAGACGGAATCAATTGTGTAACAAAGGGGAACACTAATAAGTTGCTAATTATACAGAGCCCAGAACAATTGACACAAACTGGTTGAGATTAGATTTAGAAAAGATCTATGACAAATACTAGTTTGGAAACTGGGTTGGTGAATTATGTCGCAGATTACCTGGTAGCGTAACAGACGTGATATCGCTGGAGTGTCACAAGCCCGGGTTAGGTATATACGAATTAGTCTGGCTGGGTAGAAGACATAGGGGATGCCTCGCGTGGAGCAGCCGTAGGTCGTCTTCAGTTTGACATATTCTAATGGTCTTAAATAAAGTAGCGTATGCAACAATATCCAAATCAGTGTCTGGTGCTTGAAAATGATGCAAGACGATAGGTCTTTGGGTGGCAGCGTTCTCAGTAATGTTTAGGTTAGTCTTAATTTAAAAAGATAAGTCATGACTATACAGCATTACTGAAGCAATGGGCAAAGACGCAGTTTCAGAGCGAGGTAAGAAAATAGTTACCGTCGAACGTGTTGATTGGTAAAACTACTTCGCCTGTCTGCTGAAATTTACAAAACAGGTTGGCAGGGCGCACGACCCCCATATTTATGGTTTTTGTCCGTGCTCACCTAATTTATCAACAAGGTAGAGCTGCTACTCCGGACTGCCACACTTTTCCAGATGATTGATTGATTGATAAAGATTAAGCCACCCAAGAGATGGCACGGGCATGAATAGCCCGTAACCCTTTTCCAGCTGTCGGTCACCATAAAGACGTACTAATACATCCCTATATTTTCCCACCTTAGTGAAGTGAATTCGTAACCGCCAGGAATGACTTGAATTCTTTAATTCCACTATGTATGCTACTAACCCCGTAAATGGTGGCTTCTACCACAACCAGTTCCCCGGCATGGAAGCTCCTTTACGGGTTATTCATGCCCGTGCCACCTCTTGGGTGGCTTAATCTTCATCACTCGGAAGGTCTTCTTCCCGGTATCCTCACCACTCGTCTGTGTCGAGCTGTCATCCAGGCCCTCTCGTTTCTCCTTGGTTCATATTGGATAAGTTTAGGTTCAAGACCTGAATAAATACTAGTTTGAAAATAGGGTGGATAATGTATGGAATAAATTGTCGGGTAAGATAACAGACGTGAGATCATTTGATTGTTTCGAGCGTAGGTTAGACATGTATATAAATAGGAGCTGCATGGTATGGGCCCATGGGTCTTCTGTAGCTGCCCTTTTTATAATGTTCCTATGTTCACTGTAAATATTTCCTTTCTACTGAGAAAGTTTTCCTGGCGTGTCATCCTCTCTACCGTATGTAATGACCAGGCTGCTGTTATGTGGGCATCAAGAGCTCAGCCCCAAGTCTCCGTGCTGTTCTCAGTAGCCGTCTCGCCTTTCAAGTCCTTAACAACTGGACTCTGGCATGATGGATGTCACGGGCTATTCATGCCCATGCCACCTCTTGGGTAAGCCTAATCTCCATGAATCAATCAATGAAGGATGAGGACTCATCAGCCGGGATAGTTGTTGAACACACTCATTACAGTTACCCACCCCAACACAGGAGCCTGACAGCTGGGTGGACAGCGCTTCGGATTCCTAGTCCTGAGGTTCCGGGTTCGATCCCCGGTGGAGGCGGAAACATATGGGCAGTTTCTTTCACCCTGATGCACCTGTTACCTAATAGTAAATAGGTACCTGAGTTAGACAGCTGCTACGGGCTGCTTCCTGGGAAAGGGGGGGAGGGGTGTAACAAAAAGGAGGCCTGGTCGAGGACCGGGCCGCGGGGACGCTAAGCCTTGAAATCATCTCAAGATAACCACATACCAGACACCTTATCCCGGGCACTCTTGCTCCTCATCCCACTGCTACTCCTCGCCTGATATCTACCACCCTATAAATATTTCGACTCATCCTCCTGGTTTCTTTACGGGCTATTCATGCCCGTGCCACCTCTTAGGTGGCTTAATCTTCATCAATCTCCTGGTTAGACAGTACTTTTTGTAACTATGTACACCATCGTACATAGACCCAATGGACAATGAAGAGTATAATTTAACATTTCACTTTATGTAACAACTCTTGTATATATCTCAAAAAAAAAAAAAAAAAAAAAAAAAAAAAATAAAGAGTCCGGAAAAAATAAAGGTAAAAACAAAACATAATATTGCTAGGGCCTAGCATAGCATATATGTGCAATATTAGGCCTCATATAGCGTGTATTAGGCCTAGGAGGGTTAGGTTAGGGTAAAGTTTTCTTAGCAACATCAGTACAACAACTTTTAAGGTCGTGTCCAAATTCAATAATACCGATTTCTACCGTCTAATTGCTCGTTAGGTCAGTATATGTAGGAGGATCCTGGTCGTTACTACAAGTGCTGCCTTAACAGGAGGATGGGCGGTAATATTTACACGCAAAACACGGTCACTGTGTAGCAAACTCTGGTTTTGTCTCACAATGTTATCCTTTAAGCGAGTTTGTCTTACGCTTAACAATTAAGCAAGAGGGCACACTTGTATGATATTGCCACAGCGTAAAAATCAGTGTCTACATTGGGATATCTCACCCATTATATGGCATGTGTGTACATCACGAAAATTAACGTATTGAAAAATGTGACAGTGTCAGACCATAGAGGAAGAATCTTCATTCCTTCTGAAGATGTATTAATATACGAAAGTACTTAAGGAAATTCCTGTTTCAATTATATGGCATATATATATTATTATTAACATATATCAGCAGCACCTCGTTGCTTTCAGAACTAGATGAAATGCCAGGGTCGGCGAGAGAGACTCTCCAGTGATTATTATATAGTGCTAAGCCAGTGTGACTATACAGCAATGTCCAGCAGTAGTCTCGACTCACCCGTCAGGACTCACCCGTCAGGAGCCTCACCCGTCAGGACTCACCCGTCAGGAGCCTCACCCGTCAGGAGCCTCACCCGTCAGGACTCACCCGTCAGGAGCCTCACCCCTACACAACCAAGCAATGCTTATTTATCGAAGTCTGGCCGGGGCGATGCCATTTCTCTTACCTCGTACATTACCACGAACGAAAATTTAATTATTAGAGAGGAGCTTAACTCCAAAACCAAGTTAATTATGTATATGAATAATTCAGCATGTCCTCCAGGCGAGAGGGAGCACCAATATGTAGTGACTCACCACCAATAATTCACTTCTTGTACTTATAATTTTATAGTCCGTAAAAAAAAATATAGTTAAATACCAAACTTTACATATTACTATCTTGAGATGATTTTGGGGCTTAGTGTCCCCGCGGCCCGGTCCTTGACTAGGCCTCCACCCCCAGGAAGCAGCCCGTGACAGCTGACTAACACCCAGGTACCTATTTACGCCTAGGTAACAGGGGCATAGGGTGAAAGAAACTCTGCCCATTGGTTCTCGCCGGCGCCCGGGATCGAACCCGGGACCACAGGATCACGCATCCAGTGTTCTGAGCGCTCAGCCACCGGCTCTACTAGGCCTAGTATCGCACTTATGTGCATTATAGTAAGTCTAAGACAGTGTCTATTACTTAAGATTGCTAGGAGAAGTTACCTTCTATATTTATGTGGTGTTAAAAAAAAAATCCGCCAAATTCAATAATACGTAATGTGTAAACTTTTTGGTGGTCGATCACAACACATTATTACTTTCCACCAAATACTTACTCAAAGTGCTATCACTTGAGGAGGCTGGGCTGGGGTAGTTACGAAGCCATTTAGCTAGCCATAAATAAGAAAAATAGCTGGCTGACCGTGAGTCCGTGATCAATGGTTGTCCTCAAGCTCCCGGCCACCGCTGCTCTTCCACAGGTGTACATAATGCCCTTAACAGCACATTACTAACATATTTACAATAATGTATTTTTTACTTTGTGTCTTTAAATGGGAATTTACTTGATCTGTTTACATTTTAGGCTAATGTGTAAGAATATGCTCTGATTTACAAATACAAATAAAACATTTTTTCTCGTGTATAGCCAGTCTCGAAAGCTACCTTAGGAGTAATAGGAGTAATTCAGACAGACATTACTTAAAAGTTCACTTTATTACAAAAACGTATCCAGTACATACTGTTAATCTGCAAGTTTCTTACTGAACTGTTCACCTAAAACGATATGTCTAGGAAGCAAATCTTACACAAATATACTGCTTATAACCAAGAGAATGACAGGTGTTTGATGAGGCTCTTATCACTATGAGTGTCTCGTGAGGTTATACCATGCTGTGGGTGGTGGTGTGGCCGGCGGGGCTTGGCCCACGGGGCCTCCCAGCTGCCTAGGGAACCTGTCTTCTTACAAATTACGTCTGAATTTAGCCGTTTGACACGTATGGCCGAAAACTGACGTAATTTGAAAATTAAAAAAAAAATTGAACATAAATTTCGGATTTTTTTTTCCAAAAAACAGTAAGTTAAGGTCCCCGGGACAGTACATCACTTTCGTGTGTCGATTTCATTTCAAATTACGTCAGTTTTTGGCCATAGCGCGCATACGAGCGAGAAGCGACGTTATTTTGAGATGACAGGTTGGCCTAGGAGCCTTTGTGAGCATGTAAGTTGGTGTCTCGGAATGTAGGCGAGGTGAGGCGAGGGCTGGCCTCTTCAGGATGACCCACTCCTTGTGAAGAACCCACCGCAGGGGACGGGTGTGAGCCATCCCCTGGGGAGGTGTGAGGGGCGCCCATCCCTGATGTAGTGTGAGAGGAGCCAATCAAGGAGGTGTAGGCCTCCTGGCCATCCTCACAGAGACCGAGGCGTGGGCGGTCTCCATGGTGGGTGTGGCCCATGGCGTGAGTGTTGGCTACATGAGAGTAGTGGTCTATGTAGTGGGGTGTGATGGAGGCGGTGGTGGAGAGGTGAGAGAGAGTATGGGAGACAGGTGAGGTGGTGGACGAGGGTGCAGGAAGGCCCGCCACACTGTTGTGGTAGATGGCTCTGAGTCTGCGCCTGTTGCTGACGAGGCCGTGCTGCTTGATGGCGTGCACTCGGAGGCTGTTGGCGTTCTTGAAGGTACGGCAGCAGGTGGCACAAGTGGGGCGGGAACCTTCCTGCGTCTCGTGTTTGTCTCTCACGTGGATACGCAGGTTGTACTTGTTGCTGAGCCGTTTCCCACACACCGGGCACGACACCGCCCCACCCCCGCCCACCACCCACGCCCGCGCCCCTGCAACAAAGACAACACGCCGTAAGCGCTCTTCCTTTACTTCTTGAATACACCCAGTACTTACGTCATCAACAGACAACACAAACACACCAGGCACCAAACTGCAACAAAGCTAACTACTTATGCTACTCTTTTTAACTAGTTTAAGAAAAGTTTTGATCATTTAACAATACTCTTAAATAAATAATCTACACTACTAAATCTTATTTGATGGGTGTATGAGCCATCTGCGAGGCGACCCATGGGGTAGTGAGAGAGCCTGGAGGAGTGGACACGTGGTAGTGGCCGCAGGTGGTGTGTAGGGCCAGCTGACCAACACGAGCGAGGCCTCGTCCGGCCAGGCACGGCCACCGGCGGGGCACCAGCGGGCCACCAGCGGGCCACCAGTCTGGCCCTCGGCACCCGCCTACATCTCCTCCATATGCGACAAAGCTTCCAGGGTTTCCGGATGCATATTACGAACGTGGGTCTTGAGATTGTACTTGTTACTTATTTTCTTGCCACAGAAGGGGCACAGCACTGGTATGTACACGAGCGGGCTGCGCATGGGGGCCGGCGTGCCTGCAACGATACAACACCGGCGGTGAGTGCGGACCCTGCCAACCCTACCGCTCCTACACCCTACTACACCTCCACCGCTCCGACAACCACCGACAAGGCCACCAGTGACACCTGAGCCAGCCTCCACCAACACGGACCACCCAACACCTACAAGTACCACCTCCAGCCTCCACCACTGACCAAACACAACACACTACTTCACAAACGCCTACATTTCAGAAGTACCAAAATAAAGCCAAATGACATTTCATGAAAGATAGTTTTACTAGAAGGCGTAAAGGAAAGGCCTGGATGACATGATCTCTTTTATTATCACTGCCAAGAATACATAACAAGATCACAATTTGGCACACGGTCTTCACTTACAAAAGAGGGGCATTTCAAGGTCCTGCTCGGCAAACCATACGGCAAGTGAATGTGGAGCGTAATACCCGAGAGATAATCTGGAAGTGTATATATGAGTGTGTGTGTGCTGTGGATGAGCGAGTGTGTGTATGGCGTCTAGTGAGGGAGTAGTAGTAGTAGGGGATGGTGGGTGGGGAGCGTGACTAGAGTGGCAGCGGGTGTAGAGGGTGCCAGCAGCGTGTATGTGTGTGTGGGGAGACAATCAAGGCTCACCACTCACTACTGGGCGGCGCTCGGGGCCAAGTTGGTGTATCTATGGTACTGGCTCACGTGACTGAACAGCGTGTGCTTGTTTTTATAGACTTTATGGCAATATTTGCACTGGTAGCCAGGGGAAGCGGGGGCGTGAACGCAAGCTATGTGTTGCTTGAGGCTGCGCCGCCCACCAAGCACCTTGTTGCACTGGCCGCACCGCACCCACTCTGCAACAAAAGAGACAGCGCCCCAGTCAGAGCAGACAGTCACCAAGACAACACCACACGCAACCCACCACACGCACACACACACACACACACACTACCCTTAAGACATACAAGATGGGGGAGGGGGGCAGCAAGTGCTAAGGTAAGACAGAACATAAGTAACAAGAAGGAATGATCTGGTGGTGTAGGGGTAGACCAACGCGGCCCCCTCAAGACTAGGCTGAGAACATAATACCCTTACGCGTGATTACCCATTATACACCCCTTCATACACCTGGGGCTCTCCAAGACACACACACACACCTGACACTTTCTACTACACATACACACATGACACTTTACAGCACACGCGCACACACACACACTGATCTGACACTCGTTAGTGTGTGTGTGTGTGTGTGTGTGTGTGTGTGTGTGTGTGTGTGTGTGTGTGTGTGTGTGTGTGTGTGTGTGTGTGTGTGTGTGTGTGTGTGTGTGTGTCTGTCTGTGCGCGCGTGCGTGCGTGTGCGTGAGTGTCTTGTCTGTCTTAGCAGGCTGTAACACAGGATCAATATAAACGTTGGCGAGATCGAGGTGTTATATACAAGGCGTTATAACAGCACCTGCCCCTATCTATACCGTCTGGCGTTAACGTGCGCACTCGAGAACCACACTCGGACAACCTCCCTGCACCTACTGCACTCACAACACCTCAATTACTCGCACAGTATTCAACGTTTGAGCCGAGCGTGAGAGGTAAAGCCACTATACGCGGTGGCGAGGGGTTCGTGGAGGCTCTTGGGGCGAGGGGTTCGAGGAGGCTCTTGGGTGGTGGGGCGAGAGGTTCGTGGAGGCTCTTGGGTGATGGTGGTGGGTCTCTCCCCTCACTCCACCTGGGCATCACACACCACCGCAGCTACTCTAATATGCCAACCGCCGCGCACAAAATGTCTTCATTCACAGATACTCTCTCTCGCACCCTGGCATGACCCAACCTCCGTAAAGATGTGTGCGTGAGAGAGAGAGAGAGAGTGAGAGAGAGTGAGAGAGAGTGAGAGTGAGAGTGAGTGTGAGAGTGTGTGTGTGTGTGTGTGTGTGTGTGTGTGTGTGTGTGTGTGTGTGTGTGTGTGTGTGTGTGTGTGTGTGTGTGTGTGTACTCACCTATTTGTGCTTGCGGGGGTTGAGCTTTGGCTCTTTGGTCCCGCCTCTCAACTGTCAATCAACTGGTCTACAGATTCCTGAGCCTACTGGGCTCTATCATATCTACATTTGAAACTGTGTATGGAGTCAGCCTCCACCACATCACTGCCTAATGCATTCCATCCGTTAACTACTCTGACACTGAAAAAGTTCCTTCTAACGTCTCTGTGGCTCATGTGGGTACTCAGTTTCCACCTGTGTCCCCTTGTTCGCGTCCCACCAGTATGTGTGTGTGTGTGTGTGTGTGTGTGTGTGTGTGTGTGTGTGTGTGTGTGTGTGTGTGTGTGTGTGTGTGTGTGTGTGTGTGTGTGTGTGTAATTATGGGAAAAAATGTTTTTCCAGTATGGGTATATAGTCAGAGAGAGAGAGGGAGGAAGGGAGGGAAGAAGACCCCCTAAAACCAATGACCAAATGCGGTTCATAACTGCACATCTCTGGCCAACCCAAGAAACAGCCTGATCTAAGACAATCTATACTCGTCCTCGTAAGAAACATCAGAGCGATGCTGATAAGGCTACATAATCAATTTTGAGCTTTGTTGCCAAAGCACAAATAACAATTTTACAAAAAAACACGAAGGCAATATTTGACAAATTCCCCCATTGAGCAGAGTAGAGTACATCAAATTCGTGTAGCACCATCAACGTTAGCAACAATAACACGCTTTTATTTCTAATTTATCTTTCTAATTCACAGTCGTCACAAAACTAGATTTTATATTACGTTACAACAGCTTCATGTTTCATGATCAATATTCCCTGGCTTATATAATTGTGGAGTTATAAACCCGGGAAGGAACACCGCGTTAACAGTTACATCCATACTTTCTCTTAGGTTACAGATATGTTGGTCTCGTTCTTTGTACTCTCTGGGCTCCTGAACCAGTTACTCAACTGATGCTAAAATCACTACCATCCAACATTCTGGCCCTAGCAACGACCCAAACACCTCCAGGCCAAGGATAACCCACCTGTCTAGGATAGATTAGTGGCACCCATGTAGGTGAGGCTTCAAGACGTTACTGGACCCCAGCTTCCGGTGTGCTGTCACCGACTTGGAAGATTTTGAGAGATGGGTTGATGATAGTGCGGTCAAGTGATGGATGGCGTGGTAGAGTGGAGAGTGGCCACCAGTACTGCTATGTAGTGCCGGGGACTCGCTGCCAGTGAGTGTTGTGGTGGTGGTGTTGCAAAGGATCACTGTTGCCGTTGTCTTGCACGAGAGAACCAGTATTGGTGATATTGTTGTGTAGTAACGAGGAGCCACCGTTGTGTAGTTCATATGAGCCACTACTTATAATGTTGTGGTGCAGTGCCAGAGAACCATTGCTGGTATTGGTATTGTGTAGCGATGAAGAGCCACTACTGGTACGGTTGTGGCGTAGTGCCAGGGAACTACTAGAGACACTGGTAGTGTGTAGTGGCGACGAACCACTACTGTGATGAAGTGAAGAACCAGTGGCGGTGGTGAACGAGGGTCAGCGAGGCCTCCTGGGCTGCCTGTGGTAGATGCTCATGTGGTTCTGTAGGGTGTTGCGGGTCTTGTAGTGACGTTGGCAGAGGGTGCACTGGTGGCTGTGAGAGGATGGCGTGTGCACGTCCTCAATGTGTCGCCGCACTTTGTACTTATCCCTCAGGCACTTGCCACAGTGTGGGCACACACACATGGTGAAGCCTCCGCCCTGATTGGCCACCGAGGTGGGCGCAGGCACTTGGATGACGTTAATGTGGTCAGAGACTGTGGGTGTGTGGGTGACGCCCGCGGCAGGGGCGGCAGTAGGTGTCGGGTGTGTGAGGGCCCCTGGGAGACGCCCCCCGGCTGGGTCTCCGGAGGGGAGAAGTGGGCCGGGCGTCAGCTCTGGGGGCCCACACGACCACGACCTCCCCGGGCCGCCTGTAAGGAGGATCACCATCAGAATACTGCACCTAACACAACACACACACCACTAACATTATATATCCTCCCCTACAAACACAACATGCTACCTTAAACACTACTGAATTTTCCTCAACGTTAGCGTTGTACTGAACCACAATACAGCAATACAGGATAAACCAATTGCAAGAAGCAGGCTTCACATAAGCTAAATAAATGAGTAACGAGCGCCTTCATATACTCTTCTGACAAAACTACATATGCCTACTGACTCAAAATGTCCAACAAAGGAACTGTTGCTAGCAACACAACAAAACGTCAACAAACTGTAAAGTACATGTGTTGTAACAAGTGACTACAAAACCCGCTTTTCAGTACGTAATTATAGTATAATGTACTGTGTAACAATTATATCATATATATTGGTAAAGCTTAACTTACATCATACTGTGCTTAATATACACACAAGAGGCACACACAGGTGGCAGAGTAGGGCATGTGTGCGAGTATAAACACAAGAGGCACACACAGGTGGCAGAGTAGGGCATGTGTGCGAGTATAAACACAAGAGGCACACACAGGTGGCACAGTAGATCAGGTCCGCGAGTATAACCATACAAGGCTGCAATATCCCAGCCCTCAACTTTAACTACCCACAACTTCGTTCCCTTCCAACAATTGCCATCATAAACAACCCTCCCTTAACAACAGCCAACATTATACAGAAAGTCTCGCCTTGTTTTAACGGTAGGCTATGCGCTATGTACACAAGGGCTAGAGTGCAACATGTCATCCAATACATCGTGGAGTTGACGGGGTGTCAATCTACCTCCTGATAGCAAGACAATGTGCACGGTTCTGAGGAGCGAGCGTGCCAGGTCACCTCTCCCTCTCGTATCGCCGTCTCAGACCCACGATCACATTCCGCAAGGATCTCTTCTGGGTCCCTTGTAACAAACTTCTTAATTATATCATAAGATGTGCTCGATTCTGTAAACTGGAAGGCCAAAGGTGAATGCGCGAGGCGTCGCCACCAGCAGTGATAGCTACTGAAGGCCAGAAACTCAACATAAAAGAAGGGGGGGGGATAGATTGCCCGGATTACTTTCTTTGAAGGACAAACGTTAAAGTGGGCGAGTGAAAATGAGCGTGGGATACATGGTCGATAGGGGGGGGGGATGTACATAAACTCAAAATGGAATGTTTACCATTGGAACAGCTCAGTTTAAGCGTCTTATGCCCAGGGAGGTTGTAGGTTACCCAGGAGGGAATGGAGAGGGGAGGCGAAGGGAAGAGAGAGGAGAGATGGAGAGATGGAGAGATGGAGAGAGAGAGAGAGAGAGAGAGAGAGAGAGAGAGAGAGAGAGAGAGAGAGAGAGAGAGAGGAGAGAGAGAGAGAGAGAGAGAGAGAGAGAGAGAGAGAGAGAGAGAGAGAGAGAGAGAGAGAGAGAGAGAGAGAGAGAGAGAGAGAGAGAGAGAGAGAGAGAGAGAGAGAGAGAGAGAGAGAGAGGAGAGAGAGAGAGGAGAGAGAGAGAGGAGAGAGAGAGAGGAGAGAGCGGAGAGCGAGCAGGCGGAGAGAGCAAGCGGAGAGCTAGCAAGAGAGAGAGAGAGCAAGAGAGAGAGCTAGAGAGAGAGAGAGAGAGCGGAGAGTGCGAGCGGAGAAAGAGCGGAGAGAGAGCAGAGAGTGCGAGCGGAGAAAGAGCGGAGTGAGCCAGAGAGCCGAGATAGAGCGCGGAGTGAGCCAAGATAGAGTGCGGAGTGAGCCAAGAGAGCCGAGATAGAGCGCGGAGTGAGCCAAGAGAGCCGAGATAGAGCGCGGAGTGAGCCAAGAGAGCCGAGATAGAGCGCGGAGTGAGCCAAGAGAGCACAGAGTGAGCCGAGAGAGCGCGGAGTGAGCCGAGAGAGAGCGCGGAGTGAGCCGAGAGAGAGCGCGGAGTGAGCCGAGAGAGCGCGGAGTGAGCCGAGAGAGAGCGCGGAGTGAGCCGAGAGAGAGCGCGGAGTGAGCCGAGAGCGCCGAGTGAGCTGAGAGAGCGCGGAAAGCGGAGAGAGCGGAGAGCAGAGAGAAAAGAGAGAAGACAGTTTATAAATTCATAATGTCTTACCTATGTCAATTCTCACGTACACCCCCAGCAGCTGACACCTGATGCCACACCCGCACAATCACTGCCGCTTTGGTCTAAAGTATATAACAGGAAGGCATTTTTATGTCAAGGTTAAACAAAAATGGAAATGAAATGAATTTTCCTTTTGTATCGTTTTATTATCACAAACTAAATACATGTAGAGTACAAACATAAATGCACCTACTCGGGACTCAAACGAGATCAAGTCTACTTCAGCCAAACTAATGACTAAATCGCCTACAAAACTAAACCTACATTTTGACACTAAACAAGCGCCATGGCTTGCTGAGAAAAAAATAGGAATTCATGGTAATATATATATATATATTGGATTTTTATTTTATTCCTTCTGATGTGGAGAGTACAAAATTTGCATTCTGAGTTTCAAAATGTTCACTTAATGAAGTAGCACGATATATGGCACCAGTTTTATGAATCGTATACATGTACATGATGAACCTGGGTATCATGCGCATATCACAAGAGTCTTAGCTACCCACCCCGTGTAGTGGTGGCGCTGCAGGAGACTCAAGGGCCGCGCTGCACGGCTGTGTGCCACAGGCGCCCTCATGGTTTAGGAATGATCAGAAAATGTGTACATTGTCGAGACTTCGTGGAAGATGCGAGTGAATGACATCACAGGTTCTGTGTGGCTGAGAAGGTGGAAGAGAGCGGCGTGGTAGGTGTGTCGTGGGTGTTGTGTTGAGGTGTGGCCCCGGAGTGTGTCAACTGCCCCGGGGACGCCTCGTGAACACCGTGACGACCTGTGCTTATCGCACTCAGCGGTGCTACAACTGAGTCTATAGGGTTATGAAGGGGCATGTGAAGGCCCCCCGGCAGTGTTGTTGTAGTTGTGGGTTCGTGGCGGGTCGTGGAGGACCCACCCACTCCTGCCGCAACGGACGACCCATCCTGCGTGTTGAGACGCGGAGGCGAAGGGCCATGCCCTAGCCCTGATAACAGCTGGCTGTAGGATCCGTCGCGACAACCATGTTGAAGCGGCGGGGAAGAGGGAAAGGCACAGGCGTCCTGCGCGTAGTTATGAACCTTAACCATAGTGTGTCGGGCGTCACTAGTGCCACCCCCTGAACCTACGCCCATGGCCTGCAGCGCAGCACTGAAGGTGGAGGTACAGCTGGGGTCGGCCCGGGCGTAGGGACGGGTGTGAAAAAGGTTCTCGCCGTGCGCCTGTATCATGTGTCTTTTGGCTGAGTACTTATTGAAGAATCTTCGTTTACATAGAGGACACTCAGCTGGCGTGTACAGAATGCTGGTCTTCCCTGCAACAGGAAAGGAAAGTGCCGTTACAATCCACTCTCGGTCCAGCCTCCGCCAACCTTATGGCGGTTAAATTAGGTTAGTTGTCCCCAGAATTTTCGTCAAAACCTGTATCACTGCACCTTAATCATATATCATGCTTAAATCCAGGAAACTACATCATTTTCAGATTTTTTCTTCTTTTTTTTCAGTTGAAGATGTCAGAAAATGAGATGAGTTTATCCCTTGGGATATGGTTCTCTGGGGGCGGGGGGGCGCCGTTACTGAACCCTGGAGTGCGGGGGCTGACATGAACGGAGGCCCGGGCAGCCGCCGCAGCCGCCAATAGCGACGACAGCTGGTGTTGTACGGGGGGAGGGCCTGGGCTCTGACTGTACGATACATTATCGTAATCTGGGCCCAGCGAGTCGGTGCGCTGCCGCCGGTGATAGCGGCTACAGTGGTTCTGAAGACTGTTGGGAGTGCGGTAGTGTCTATGACATATCTTGCACTCGTAAGAAGTCAGGTGAACTGTATGCATGTCTTCAAGGTGTTTTCGTAGACTTGTGCCCTTCAACAGTTTGTGGCAATGGGGACACTCTAAGCGACCGTAGTTCTCTGCAAGAGAGAAGGAAATGGTCATGTGGCGGGGGTTGAGAGCTGCTCTACATGGCATGCCACTACTACGCTCTGGCTACTAGGCTTCAGGAAGCAAGGCGCACACTACCACTCCTACAAGTAACTCACCCTCAGCTCTTTCCTTCTCTTTTGTGGTAAACATAGATATGATTTTGTAGACTATTTGGCGTGCGGTATTCTTTGTGGCAGACGTAGCAGCGGTATGAAGTGAGGTGGACAGTGTGTCTGTCATTTATGTGCCTGCGCAGGCCGTGACTGGTGCTCAGCACTTTGCAACAGACAGGACACTCGAATCTGGCTCGCCCTCCCGCCATGGGCGACGCCCCCATCCCGTCCCCAAACAGCCGGTACATTTCTGCAACAGACAACACATCCCGTCAGTACGGCAAACTCCCTCCATTGCCCACCCGCCCTCTCTGCTACTGGCTGCGCCGCCATTCTCACATATTGTCCTCATCAGGAATAACACTACTCACTATTACTAGTATTATTAATAATTATTTAGTATTATTACTATTATTTACCAGTTGGTAAAGTGGGTATGGAGGGTGAGGGAGGCTCAGGTGGCTCGAGGTTCAGTGGCAGGTCGCGGGGCGGCGCTGCCGTTGCTGCCCTTGTGATAGAGACTCATGTGGTTGCTCAAGGAGTTCTGGTTGCGGTAGGACTTGCGGCAGATACTACACGTGACCTGGGTGTTGGCCGTGTGTTGGTCGCGTATGTGTGTCTTGAGGCCCGAGTGTGAGCGGAGGAGCTTGTGGCAGTAGGGGCAGGCTACCGTGCCTTGGCTGGGTCCGATGGCCATGTGGGCGGCCATGCTCTGCCCTCCACCCACTAGGTAGGTGGGTGAAGTGGCCCCGGGGCCCGCCAGACTAGTGGTCCTGAGGGCGGCGGCCATGCTCCTCATCCCGCATGTAGGAGGCCCTGCGTGAGGCCGGCCGCTGGCTGACAAGGCTGGGGTGTCGTCGGGGGGGCGGCCCTGGGGAAGGGCCTCGCTCACGACGCCCGCAGACACCCCACCTGCAACACGAGACGCCCACGTTACCCTCCAACCTCAAACTTCACCAGGAGCCTCTCACTCACCCTCACCAGGAGCCTCTCACTCACCCTCACCACCACCAGGAGCCTCTCACTCACCCTCACCACCACCAGGAGCCTCTCACTCACCCTCACCACCACCAGAAGCCTCTCACTCACCCTCACCACCACTAGGAGCCTCTCACTCACCCTCACCACCACCAGGAGCCTCTCACTCACCCTCACCACCACCAGGAGCCTCACACTCACCCTCACCACCACCAGGAGCCTCACACTCACCCTCACCACCACCAGGAGCCTCTCACTCACCCTCACCACCACCAGGATCTTCACACTCACCCTCACCACTACCAGGAGCCTCACACTCACCCTCACCACCACCAGGAGCCTCTCACTCACCCTCACCACCACCAGGAGCCTCTCACTCACCCTCACCACCACCAGAAGCCTCTCACTCACCCTCACCACCACTAGGAGCCTCTCACTCACCCTCACCACCACCAGGAGCTTCTCACTCACCCTCACCACCACCAGGAGCCTCTCACTCACCCTCACCACCACCAGGATCTTCACACTCACCCTCACCACTACCAGGAGCCTCTCACTCACCCTCACCATCACCAGGAGCCTCTCACTCACCCTCACCACCACCAGGAGCATCTCACTCACCCTCACCACCACCAGGAGCCTCACACTCACCCTCACCACCACCAGGAGCCTCTCACTCACCCTCACCACCACCAGGAGCCTCTCACTCACCCTCACCACTACCAGGAGCCTCACACTCACCCTCACCACCACCAGGAGCCTCTCACTCACCCTCACCACCACCAGGAGCCTCTCACTCACCCTCACCACCACCAGGAGCCTCTCACTCACCCTCACCACCACCAGGAGCCTCTCACTCACCCTCACCACCACCAGGAGCCTCTCACTCACCCTCACCACCACCAGGAGCCTCTCACTCACCCTCACCACCACCAGGAGCCTCTCACTCACCCTCACCACCACCAGGAGCCTCACACTCACCACCACCAGGAGCCTCTCACTCACCCTCACCAGGAGCCTCTCACTCACCACCACTAGAAGCCTCACACTCACCACCACCAGGAGCCTCTCACTCACCCTCACCACCACCAGGAGCCTCACACTCACCCTCACCAGGAGCCTCTCACTCACCCTCACCACCACCAGGAGCCTCACACTCACCCTCACCACCACCAGGAGCCTCTCACTCACCACCACTAGAAGCCTCACACTCACCACCACTAGGAGCCTCTCACTCACCCTCACCACCACCAGGAGCCTCTCACTCACCCTCACCACCACCAGGAGCCTCTCACTCACCCTCACCACCACCAGGAGCCTCTCACTCACCCTCACCACCACCAGGAGCCTCTCACTCACCCTCACCACCACCAGGAGCCTCACACTCACCCTCACCACCACCAGGAGCCTCTCACTCACCCTCACCACCACCAGGAGCCTCTCACTCACCCTCACCACCACCAGGAGCCTCACACTCACCACCACCAGGAGCCTCTCACTCACCCTCACCACCACCAGGAGCCTCTCACTCACCCTCACCACCACCAGGAGCCTCTCACTCACCCTCACCACCACCAGAAGCCTCTCACTCACCCTCACCACCACTAGGAGCCTCTCACTCACCCTCACCACCACCAGGAGCCTCTCACTCACCCTCACCACCACCAGGAGCCTCACACTCACCCTCACCACCACCAGGAGCCTCTCACTCACCCTCACCACCACCAGGATCTTCACACTCACCCTCACCACTACCAGGAGCCTCACACTCACCCTCACCACCACCAGGAGCCTCTCACTCACCCTCACCACCACCAGGAGCCTCTCACTCACCCTCACCACCACCAGAAGCCTCTCACTCACCCTCACCACCACTAGGAGCCCTCTCACCCTCACCCTCACCACCACCAGGAGCCTCTCACTCACCCTCACCACCACCAGGAGCCTCTCACTCACCCTCACCACCACCAGGAGCCTCACACTCACCCTCACCACCACCAGGAGCCTCTCACTCACCACCACCAGGATCTTCACACTCACCCTCACCACTACCAGGAGCCTCTCACTCACCCTCACCATCACCAGGAGCCTCTCACTCACCCTCACCACCACCAGGAGCATCTCACTCACCCTCACCACCACCAGGAGCCTCACACTCACCCTCACCACCACCAGGAGCCTCTCACTCACCCTCACCACCACCAGGAGCCTCTCACTCACCCTCACCACTACCAGGAGCCTCACACTCACCCTCACCACCACCAGGAGCCTCTCACTCACCCTCACCACCACCAGGAGCCTCTCACTCACCCTCACCACCACCAGGAGCCTCTCACTCACCCTCACCACCACCAGGAGCCTCACACTCACCCTCACCACCACCAGGAGCCTCTCACTCACCCTCACCACCACCAGGAGCCTCTCACTCACCCTCACCACCACCAGGAGCCTCTCACTCACCCTCACCACCACCAGGAGCCTCACACTCACCACCACCAGGAGCCTCTCACTCACCCTCACCAGGAGCCTCTCACTCACCACCACTAGAAGCCTCACACTCACCACCACCAGGAGCCTCTCACTCACCCTCACCACCACCAGGAGCCTCACACTCACCCTCACCAGGAGCCTCTCACTCACCCTCACCACCACCAGGAGCCTCACACTCACCCTCACCACCACCAGGAGCCTCTCACTCACCACCACTAGAAGCCTCACACTCACCACCACTAGGAGCCTCTCACTCACCCTCACCACCACCAGGAGCCTCTCACTCACCCTCACCACCACCAGGAGCCTCTCACTCACCCTCACCACCACCAGGAGCCTCTCACTCACCCTCACCACCACCAGGAGCCTCACACTCACCCTCACCACCACCAGGAGCCTCTCACTCACCCTCACCACCACCAGGAGCCTCTCACTCACCCTCACCACCACCAGGAGCCTCACACTCACCACCACCAGGAGCCTCTCACTCACCCTCACCACCACCAGGAGCCTCACACTCACCAGGAGCCTCTCACTCACCACCACTAGAAGCCTCACACTCACCACCACCAGGAGCCTCTCACTCACCCTCACCACCACCAGGAGCCTCACACTCACCACCACCAGGAGCCTCTCACTCACCCTCACCACCACCAGGAGCCTCACACTCACCCTCACCACCACCAGGAGCCTCTCACTCACCCTCACCACCACCAGGAGCCTCTCACTCACCCTCACCACCACCAGGAGCCTCTCACTCACCCTCACCACCACCAGGAGCCTCTCACTCACCCTCACCACCACCAGGAGC